CACCCCCCCGACCCTACCCCCCCCCTCCGATGTGGTGTGGGAAAGTGGGGGATTAGAAGTCCACTCATCTTAGAGTTGCTAAGGCTGAGAAACACTGGCCTAGAGATAGCTTTCCTAAGGCTGCATCGGGCCAGCTAAGAGCCAAATTTTTAAAAACAATTGAATTGTGGAAACTTAATCAGAGGGTGTGCATCTTCTCATCCTTCAGATGGTCTGGGATTCACGTAACATAATCGAGGGGCAAAGATACCACTTCAGTTCAGCCCGAGGGCCCAGAACCTGGCCCTCAAGGATGTGCTTGGGAAGAGCCAGGGAGCAGATCCACCTCCTCTTTCACGGCTTGAAGTTCCTGCTTTGGGGACACCTGACCTCGAGGGTGGCCAGCACGACCCCTGCAGGTGCCCAAGGATGAATCTTCTGATTGGAAAATATAGATCAATAGGTTCTTTGAAGGGTTGTTCTGGTTTCTTCTGGAACGTTGTGTTGTTCTGCTCTGCTTCTGCTGATTCAGCATCCCAAAGCTTGCCAGAAGCCACGCAGATCTTCGGTGGCTATTGATGGAGCAATCTCATGGAAGACAGCAAAAGTGGCCAGGTACCAGCGATGCTCAGAGGAGCTGGCTATTTTTAACACACACAGACACAACGATGTATAAATAGTCCATGTCATTAGTGATAGAATCATAATCAAGGGCTAATTTGTGCGGTTCTCTATGGTTCTTGTTGCTAACCATTGTTAACCACATGGATGATCTTTATGGGGGGGGGGTCCTGTGTGTGGCTTTTATAATTAGCTCATAAACCTCCTTTCCTGCTTGAATTGCTTCAACAAAGAAAAGCTTCTTAGTCTAAAGTGCTAGCTGGAGAATTCCTTTGCTGTCACTTCCCCCCACAGGCCAATGCGCTCCAGGTATTGCTATGCCTTGCAGGGTCCCTCCATAGGTTAGCTGAGGACCCAAGCATCTTTGCTGGCAGAGCATGGTGGGGGCTGAAGTCCAGGATATCTAGAGGCTGCCAGAAGGATGAAGATGGAGCTTGGAGAGCTATCTGAAGTGAAGATGGTGACCGTGACTATGCAGTCAAAGCCCTGCCCCCCTTTTTTACATGCACCGTGCATGCAATACATGTAAAAATGGGAGGGGCTTCTATCATAGGGGGCAGCCTCCATCTTGACTTTTTGACTGCCCCTGTGGACACCCATGATCCCTGGATGAGATGAAGAGCACAAGAACATGGTTGGGTCAGCTTCTTCTGAATGCTGTAAACCAGCATTTTTCAAACTGGGCCACTTGAAGTTGTGTGGACTTCAACTCCCAGAATTCCCCAGCCAGCCATGCTGGCTGGGGAATTCTGGGAGTTGAAGTCCACACAACTTCAAGTGGCCCAGTTTGAAAAATGCTGGTTTACCACACAACTTCAAGTGGCCCAGTTTGAAAAATGCTGGTTTACCACACAACTTCAAGTGGCCCAGTTTGAAAAATGCTGGTTTATGGACTTCAACTCCCAGAATTCCCCAGCCAGCATGGCTGGCTGGGGAATTCTGGGAGTTGAAGTCCACACAACTTCAAGTGGCCCAGTTTGAAAAACACTGCTGTAAATCATGTATGTTAGTTTTCCCATGCAGGATGTCAATGTTGGCTTCAGCACAAATGCTTCCTTGTCCTTGCTTCCTTATTATCTGAGCTTTGTCAGGATTCTAGGTCAGTGAGTTCCCTCTGCTCCCCTACCTTCTATCCTCGTCTGGGCCTAGTAGCTTCGAGTGTGTTCTGAGTCCCTGCCGTTTGTGTTTCTTTGCACTAATCCTTTTTTTTGGGCACTCGTCTTTCCCAAGCCACCTGCCCACTTTCCCACGCTGGTGGTGTTTTTCATTTGTTTTCACGGTGAGCTTAAACACCTCTTTGTGTGATGTGGTTTTCAGTTCTTTTCTCCACGTGCAAACATAAAGCTGTTTGGCAAACGGGGGATGCATAAAATTGCCTTTCCACCGGGGAAAGTTTCGCGAAAGGGGTACAGAAAACTCCCTGCTCCCAGAAAACTTCCGGAGAAGCCGCGGCAGCCGTCGGAGGGCCCTCTGGCGCTCCGTAGTGGCGGAACAGGCGAACGACTAGAGGGATCCGTTCTTGAAAGGAGCCTCTTAAGGATCTGCAGTGATCCATCTGGTTCTATTTATTTCCTTTCCACATAGGAGACTTTGAACAGAAATGGGGAGGATATGTTCCTCCAGCACGTTTTGCTGGATACCCCCTCGTGTTTATAAGTGATCAGAGAAGCAGTTGTGGGTACAGCGTCCAGCATTGGGCAAGTTCCTCATTGCCGTCAACCTGCTTCTAAAGACTGTGAAGAAGCTGGAACTGTTAGGGTTTGAGTAAACGTCTCTCCACTTCCTATACAGCCTCCCGGGGATCTGTAAGAGGTGTTTAGACATTCTCTGACTCAAAGCGACGCTGTGAGTTTCATGACTGACGCGGGTGTGCATTTCCAGTCTAAAGAGTGTTTAAAGAAACTCCCGGTTTCTGTATCCCCCTCCTTCTGCTTGCTGGCCAGCTCTCTCCTGATGCAATCCCATTTCGCAGGGGCTGGATGCGAGATCCTCTATGTCACGGGTTAAAGATTAACTTTGTCCTCTCCTGCTGCCAGTTCAGAGGCCCAACTCATCATATTCATTCTCCAAAGGCAATAAACAGAGCAAGAGACTCCATTCTTCACCATGGCAAGAAGGACCGTGCCAAGCCGCAGGGGCTTTCTAGAACTTGCCAAGACACAAGTCCAGCGTACTGTGGACCCAGTCCTTGCCCACAAACAGGGGGGAGATACAGAAGATGGGGAGATACTGAAGGGAGCCCTGGAGGCTCCTGTCGGTGTGTACATTGGGAAATAAACAGATCATCTGATGGCATTTGCAGGGAGCTACAGGACAGGGATGTCTTTGTCTTGGAAGGATAGGATCACTGGGCAGCAGCTGAGATGTAAAGACACTGGGATGGAGGCGCGAGAGATTTGCTAAGAACTCAGTGAACACATTTGTAAATAGCACATTTAAATGTAAATGACACCGATCAGGGTTCAATCCCGTATTTTATTTGTTTATTTATAAATGATCTGCATCCTTACGTAATTACGATGAGACAAAGAAGACAAGAACATGGTCGGATTAGTTTCTTCTAAATGCTGTAAACCAGTGTTTTTCAAAGTTGGCCACTTTAAGATGTGTGGACCTCAACTCCTAGAATTTCCCAGCCAGCAGGCTTTAAGATGGGTGGGCTTCATTGATGATTCTGTACCCATTTTACAGATTGGGCCTTACTTTTCCTGAGACAGTGGTTTGCCCCAGATCATCCAACTATTCTAGATGCCAAAAGATAAGCTATTATCTCACAGAGATGGAAGCCAGCATTCTTGGGTGATACAACCTGGGATCCATTGCAGCTCCTGCAGGGACTGGAGTTTCTCCTGCTAAGCTTCCCTCCCTCTCCGATTTTTTTCCTCAAGGCTCCTCTTCCCAGCTCCAATGAACCCGAATGGCTTGGGTCTTGGGGCATTTCCTCCGGAGAAAGTCTCCTTGAGCTCAGAGGGGTTCCCTGCAAGTCAACCGGCTTTCAGAGCAGGAGCTGCCCGCTCCCACTCTCCTTTTCTCCAGCCACCCCTCCTCTGGATGGGAGCCCACCCCCCGGCTCGGAGAGAAGACCCTCCCTTCCCATTTCTTCCGCGGTCTTTTCCTTGTCGCTTGCACACCTCCCCTCGCTTGAAAGCGCGCCGCGGATTGAATTCTTCTCACCTCGACCCAAGAATCCGGATGGAGCGGGGACCAACAGACGCTTCTTCGGAAGAAAGGGGCGGCTTGAGGCTGCAGCTCGGCTGGGAAGCCAGCTGCCTCCCAAGCCACCCTCCTGCGCGCCACTCAACCCGCGGAGTCTCCCTGCTCGCTCCTTTCTTCGGCGGGAACGGCTCTCTTCCACGCGGTTTTCCCCCAGCCCCGCGTCTCCCAAGAGGCGGGACTACAACTCCCATTCGTTGCCTATGGGCAATGGAGAGTGTACGCCACCCCTTCGGGGAAGGCGCCGGCTCAGAGAAGGCTGCCTTACGGAGCGCCCGTTCGGCTCCCTTCTTCGCCTCTCCGCGGTTCCAAAAGATCGCGCGCTCCGAGTCGCGCAAATCTGCCCAGCCAAGTTTACCAAAGTGGCAAACTTTTCAGGCGCCCGCAGCTGTTCCTCGGGGCAGGTGATTGGGGGGGAAGTGGGGGCGGGGGAGGAAGAGGGCACTGAAAAGGGGTGGCTGGGCTGGCACCCCTCCCGTCCCCCGTGCGCAC